TCAATGAGTCCTTTCCAGAAAACAATTATTCCAGATAGTTTTTTCCAGAAATAACTTTCATTTTGGTTAGAGTGGTTGATGACTATGCTGAATTAAAAATTAAATTTTTACACTTTACAACTAATATAAATGATAAATTTTTTGTTTGTTTGTTTTTTCACAAAAAAAGTTGAAAAGTAAAAAAAATTAAAATAAAATGATTTGATAACTTTTGACTTTTAACTTTTGTTTAGTATATTGCAGTATAGTAAATGCAGTAAGGAGGTTTAAAAAAATGCATTTTTTAATATAAAAATATTTAGTTAATTGTAGAGATGTACCAGAATTCTGTTCCAGCTGGAATTCTGGCCAGAATTTGTGACTTTTAGGTCATTCCGGTTCCGGCTGGAATTATTGTAATTCCGGCTGGAATGCCAGAAATATTGTAATTCCAAATCTTTTATCTGTGACACAGACTTTGTAAATTATCAAAAAATCATTGTCTTACAGGGAATTGAAGAACTATAGGTAAACCTTGGTAAAAAAATACAAAATTCTCAACAAACACAATGTAATTTTAATTGCAGTTATCAATTATGTAAGGATTACTAGAAGTTTAATTACTAGAAGGAATGTTGTGGTGCAAAAAGAGTTGCTAGTTCCAGTTTTGAGAATAGTATTAAATATTATGCAGATTAAAACTTTCAATAAATAAAATTATAAGAAACAAATAAAAACAACATTAGATTTAAATGAAACAAAAACCAAACTAATGAAATAGGTTATATATATATTATAGGTTTTAAATATATATTATGTAGTCATGATGCTGAGGTGCATGCTTTTACTTTCAATCTTGAATGTAAAAAATTACATGAGTATAATTCTTGTTCTGGAGAGAATTCCGTCCAGAATTTTTTAAACAATTCCAACAAACCCGGTTCTGGCTAGAATTCGAAATTTCTGATCTGGTACACCCCTAGTTATTTGTGAAGAAAATAGTTCTATATAATAAAATAACATCAAGTTAAATTTTTTTTTCAGTATATTTTTGTTAAATTTTTTACTTTAAATTTTACTTTAAATTAAAAGGCAAAAAAGTAATAAAAATACAAATCACAATATTTAAACAACCAGATTCCAATCACATATTTAAAATTTTGTTTTTTAAATATATAAAAATAACACTATTTCCTTACTGAGGTAAAAATGATAATTCAAGAATGTTTTCTGTGTAATATAAAATAAACAATATTTTTATCTTTGTATATTTGTGTTTAATATTGAATTATCTAATACAACCATGTTAGTTGACCTCAAAGCAACCTGGGAAAAAATTTTTAAAATAAATTTATATTTTAATTTACATTTTATACATTATCTGAAAAATTCAGAAAAAAGTATACCACATTTTATTCTAAATCATTACTTCTTGATCCTGTGTACTATCTAAAATTTAAGTATAATTAAATTTTTCAATTAAACTGTTTTTAAGTTGATGTTTTCATTCAGTTTTTTCATTCAAATTGTTTTGTGATAAAAAAGTGAAAGAAGAAAATTTTGTTTAATAAACTAAATATATTTTCTTAAGTTTAAGAATATGCTTAAATTACTTTTTTGGAAAAAAATTTATTTAAACAGAAGTAAAATAATTTTTTTTTTAATTTAAATTTTTTATAATTTAAGTTATAATATATAATATGTTATAACAAATATTATCCATTAAAATATAAATTAAATAAAATACATGATTTAATTTTAAATTGATTTAAAATATGAGTGATTAGCGTGGTATTATACCACGTCAAAAAAGTGTAAATGTTTTATAATTTGAAAATAGAGGTGATTCCATTCATCAACAAACCAACTAGAATTACTTAACCAACAGCCTCTTTAACTAATAATATTATATTTTCTGAAAACCTTTTAATGTATTGTTAGATACCATATCAAACTCATTTAAAGGCTTTATGGATAACCAATAATATAACAATGTCTACTTATGTAAATTTTGAAATGTAAGTTCAATATAAGTATGAAAAAGCAACAATTTTGGTTGGAATAATTACTAACAACAATTTAAATTTCATGTATAAAACAAGCCATTACAAAACAATTTGTACAATTACAATGGAATTGAACCTGGGTATATTAAACCTAATTAACTTAGCATAATTTACATATTCAATAGTGCATCTATCTTAGTATATATACTTGATGAAACACTTTTTTGATAGTGTCCTATTTCTTTAATATACTATGATACTATATTATGATATAAGCAACAACATACTTATGCGTCAAACTTAAGTATATTCTTGCTTATACCACATTAGAATGTTTAGAAAAAGATTGAAACAACCACCTTATTTGGTGAGGGTGTAAACTTTACAGAATCATAACTTTTGAACACTTAAAAAGTAGAATATGAATTTTAAAACTTGTCGACTTAAATTTAGTGTAATTAAAAAAAATAAAAATTTTAATTTGTTGCCCTCGCATTTAAGACAGATTTTTGTTTTCAGTCTTCAATCACCAGAAGTTTTATTTCTTAATCTACGTATAAATTGTTGCAACGCTTTACGTATATTACACTTATATATTACATATATACGTATATTACAATTGTTGCTATATTATACATATATTACAGAGTGGCATAGCAAAATAATTTTGGCCAGTAGGCATACTTGGCCAAGGTGCCTAATTTCTGTTTCTCTGGAACAATAATTTTTCTTAAAAAAAATAAAAACAAGCTCTTTAACTATATCTTAGGGCTCCTAAATCTCACAACCCTGGGGTCAGTTGCTTGAGGGACCATGAGGTTTGCTTACATTGGCCTTGCGGTAGCTAGGCCACTGATACAACACGCAGATAAAAATATTTACACAAAAATTTATAAATTTTTCATGGCCATATAAAATACCATTTTTGTTTAAACCAAGACTTTTATGCTCTGGGGATATTCTTGAGCAGGTGAGCATTTTTCAAAATAAAGAGTCCTCTTAAAAAGTTTGGCGTTCCTAAATCTGTATAGCATGTAGTTATGACCTCCGTAATCAAAAACTGGTTAAAACTTTTCCTTCTTAGTTTTAAAACAATAAAAACATTTTATGCAAAAAAAAACTTGTAAGAACTAACAATATGTTAGTGTTGGGGACGGTGGGTGGGGGGGATTTAATGTTTTTGAGACCGTTTCATTCAAAGAATGGTTTTTATAGTATCATGGATTAAAATATCATGGACTGCGACAAGAAACGGTTTTAATCATGGTCATAAACCTATTATTGATATTTTCAATTTTACAGGGAAGAAATACCAGGCAGACTAAATGTTGCTGCAAATTAA